TAACAGACTTCATTGTCGTTAAATAATATAAAAGCCTAGCAATATATTTAAAAGGAGAAAATCAAGGAAGCATGAATATTTAAAAGGAGAAAATCAAGGAAGAATGATGTGATATTACTGAGGCAATATTCTTGGATTAATACCAAAATAAGTCTGTTAAAAATAATAAAAATTAATTCCTCAAGATACGTTTGAAGTATTATATTATTTACATGTTCAGTGAGTGAAAAGAGGGTGCTAGATYTCTGCTTGCACTCCCCAGAGAACACCTCTATATTTATGTCAATGGACCTTCACCTCTGCTCCTCAGGTTCTGGGACAGTAATTCATCTGACTTAGTTTTGATTTTTTAAAGGTTTAGTCAAAGTTGGTTGCTCCGACTTCTTCAGACACTGAAGAAAGCTGAGGAACTCCAGAGAGCCCATACAGCTGGGAAGAAGTGCTTTATGGAGAAAGTATCTTGTCTTAAAAGGAGTCTAAGCAGATGAAATCTGTAGTTAAAGGAAGCTAGAAGATGAACTTTAATAGAAAACTGCTTTGATGCAATGTTAACCACAAATACGAAAGTAGTAATACCAGCCTTGCCTTTTCCCACTGGAAAAGAGAAGAGATGAGAAGAGCTAGTGGATCTCTGAGCTTTCCATGGTGATTGCCTCAGAACACGAAATTCCTGGACTGAATGATATTACTTTTTCTTCTCTCTTTACCTTTTTCTTACAGTTATTTATARCCATGAAGATATATACCTGTATACTTACATTCCATCTTCACATCACCAGTGATATAAACTCTCCTTAGTGATACTGAGTCATTTTCTAAAACTGAAAGATCAGGCCATAAGTAAAGGTGCCTAATTAATTAAAAATTCCTGAAACACCTGAGTGATAAGCAAAAGTTGGCTTAGGATGCTAAGCTGACAACACATCCAAAAATTGTAGTCTTACATATGCAGTGATGCAACTGTGCTAGTTAAGCAATCTTGTTACAGTGTTCTGGGTCCTTGCCTCCACCAGGCTTAAAAACTGCATTTTTGTCTTACATTGGCCAAGATGATAGGCTGAAGGTGTGAGTTAACTACATTCTGATAAATCAAGGTAATCCCTAAACTCCTAGCCAGTGCTCTCTTCAGTTTGTTTAAACATGTGAAAATGTATCTTCACTAGGATTCTCTTTTTTTTTTTTTTTTTTGCCTACTATGTGGTCAGAGGACACATTTTTTCCCCCTAAATTGAGCATGCTATTATATGTGGTATGTCTAAGTGGGGAGGGAAATTTGCCTTTAATGCAAGCTAGGCTAATGAGTAAACATTGAGAGAAACTCATCTTGGTAAGTTTAAAACACATTAGGAGTATTCTGATCTACCTACACTATGCTTCTCACATGCCTCCTCTTAATTGGAGCCTGCTAGCAGCATATTTAGAATATATTTAAATATTCAACTACATGCACGGGCTCCCAGTGCTTAAATGTTATGGCTGGCTTAATTATTAATACTGTGTGTCCTCTTTTCTATACAAAAGGGCATTGAAATTGTTTTAAATGATAGAACAATGTGAAGATGAAAGTGTGGGAAACCTGGAAAATTTACTTCCTGTATCAAAGTAGCAGTGGAAATACATCTTTAAATATGGAGCAATTGAAATGAATACCATAAAAGCACTCATTAATATGCTGTTGTATTTATAATAATATCCCTCATTTTTATTACCACACAGAAGAGTTGTTGCATCAACTGTTCTAGTTTCAAATCTTATGCAAAATCACCAAGCTTTTTTATCACTAAAGTGAGAAAATACATAATGCCTAGTCAATAAGTCTGTTTACCTTCTATAAAAACCATACAGAAAGCCAGTCCTGATGAAGGTGCTGAGCCTCAGAGAGGATGTCAAGTGTCCTCACCTTCCAGAGTGAAGCAGGGACACTGGGAATCTGCCAGGATTGACCCCTGAATAGAAAGGAAACATTCAAGGCCAACGTGTGGAGCTGTCCACGCTKCTTTTGATATTTTGAGTCCATAAATACAGGAGTGGATATGCTGCTTTCTTCTGAGAGGTTTCTTTCCTTCTGTAGAATAGGTGGTAATATGTGTGAAAGTCTACAAATATATATTTAAAATGAGCTTTGTGTAAAAAGGAAACCAAATATGTCTAAAGAGAAATTGCTTATGATTTCAAAATAGTCACCTTTCTGTCCTGTTTTAGAGCCACCTGTGCAAAGCCCAGAGTCTGGAGGATCAGGCATCCTTTTCCTTAAATCCTCATCGTGAATTCTCATCACACCATGGCAGGGAAAGGCACACATTCTGACTGACTTCAACAGAAAGACTTGTCTTCTGTATCAAGTTAACAGTGAGCMATTGCTGGAGCAAGTGAATTTGAGGACAACATTTTGGCCTGTAGGCCAAGTTCCTCAAGACAGAAACATTGGAGGAGAAGCAAAATGCCACTCACATTTGCAGCGTGGCATAAATAAACAATATTGGCCGAAAGTGAAACTACACTGAAAGTCATCCTTGAGTTTTTTACAAACAAGGAGCTGCCTGTGCAGGGAGCAGAATAAATGAAGCCTGGTTTCCTATGGATTTGTGCCTCACAGTTGGATTCTCTAGTGTCTAGTAAAGTGTAAGCCTCATTTAAAACTTTTTCTTGCATTTCAGGTATTTAGGCCATCTATCTGCCATGGTGTGAGCTCATCTGAAGCCCGTTCCTAAATGGAGCATGCTAAGAACTGCTTTTTCTTCTGGACAGCAATGCCTTTTTACTAAACTTGTGGAATTTTATCTCTGACACCCTTTTGTCACTGACTGAGATTGGCCAACAGGTTCACAGGTTATGGATACAGATTGTAAGCCTCACAAGCACAGGCACTAAATGATACRTACATTTGTAGGTAATGTGATGTTATAGGAGATGTGACACATTAATTTGGGTTCCCTGCCTGTTTGGTKCCAAACCATAACTGGCCCTTGTAGAAGAAATTCCCAGCAGACCAGGCAGGCTTTGATGAGCCTCCAGAACTTCTGGGTGAGTTCTTCATTTCTGGCACACGCTGCCCTCATGAAACACCTCAAAATACAAGTTCACCTTTTTCACATCCTTTCTGTAACCTTTTCCTGCAGGGGGAGACCATGGATGTTTCCTTGCTGCTGTGCTAGGTTCTCATGGAAGGCCTGAAATATGTTAATTCCATCTAAAATCACAGAACATTAGCTTTATAGTGAGTTATTTAACTCTCTTATGACTAAGATAATTTTTCCAAGCCATTACTACCTAGGAGTTTCTTTTGTGACATTTCTTGCTGCATTTTTCACTTTTAAAATTGCAGCCCTTCTTATGGCTTCTAATGACCTATTCTGGAAATTKTAGCCTCCTTCAAACTGCAGGGAAAAAAATGGATTTCAATGAAGAAGGAAGTTTTTTACCTGTCAGAGATTGAAGCTCTAAGTCTGAAAATCCTCCAAGTCTGTGGATGCCTGTGTCACCGTCTGCCAGTAAGATTACGCTGTGTAAGTGAATTGTGACTAAAAGAAAAATGACTCAGTTGTGTAAGACAGGCAGATGTTGCCAGTTTGCCAGCACTTTCAAAACAAAGCATCATCTGGTCACTGCCAGTGATTAGGCAATTTAGCACATCAAAAGAATCCAGGCAGTTACCTGATTTCTCACATATCTGCTGGGCTAATCCAGTATAATTTCTGGCCAGTCATAAAACAGAAAGRAAGTAA